CTAATAAAAAGAAAGTGAGAGTAGCTATATTAATTTCAGGCAGAGCAGATTTCAGACAAAGGAAACTTTGTCTGGGATAAAGAGGGGCATTACATAATGATAAAGAGTCAGTTCTCCAAGAAGATATAACAATCCTTAAAGTGTATGTGCCTAATAACAAAGCATCAAAATACATGAGGCAAAAACTGATAGAACTGCTAGGAGAAATAGATTAATCCACTACTATAGTTGCACACTTCAACACACCTCCCTCAAAATGGACAGATTTAGGAGGCATAAGAATCAATAAGAGCATGGTTGAACTCAACAACACCATCAATTAACTGGGTATAATTGACATCTGTAGGCTACTTCATTCAACAACAGCAGAAAACACATTTTTCTCAAGCTCACATGGAACATTCACCAATATAAACCATATTCTGGGACATAAAACATATCTTAACAAATTTTAAAGAAGTTAGATGTATCTGTTCTCAGACCACAATGGAATTAAACTAGAAATCAGTAAAAGAAAGATAACTGGAAAATCCCAAAATACGTGGAGACTAAACAACTTCTAAATAACATATGGGCCAAAGAAGAAACCTCAAGAGAAATTTTAAAATATTTTGAACTAAATGAAAATGAAAATAAAATTTATCAAAATTTGTGGGATGCAGCATTAAGCAGTACTAAGTGGGAAACTTACAACCTTGAATCCATATATTAGAAAAGAAGATATAAAATCAGTCATCTAAGCTTCCACCTTAGGAAACTAGAAAAAGAAGTGCAAATTCAATCCAAAGAAGTAGAAAAAAAGAAATTATAGGAGTTAGAGCTGAAATCATTGAAATTGAAAACAGGAAATCAATAGAGAAAAATCAACAAAACCAAAAGCTGATTCTTTGAAAAGATCAATGAAACCAATAATCCTCAAACCAGGAAAGAGAGAGAGAAAGAGAGAAGACACAAATTACTATTATCAGAAATGAAAGAGGGGACATCACTACAGATCCCATGGACATTAAAAAGATAATAAAGGAATACTGTAAACAACTCTATGCCCACAAATTTGATAACCTAGATGAAATAGATCAGTTCCTTGAAAGACACAATTTGCCAAAACTCATCCAAGATACAATCTGAATAGGCCTATATCCATTAAAGAAACTGAATCAATAGTTAATAACCTTTCTAAACAGAAAGTACTAGTCCCACATGGGTTCACTGGTGAATTCTTACCAAACATTTAGAGAAGATATTGTATCAATTCTCTGCCAACTCTTTTAGAAGATAGAAACAGAGAGAATACTTCCTAACTCATTCTATGAGGCCAATGTTACCCTAATACCAAAACTAAACAAAGACATTACAAGAAAAGAAAACTACAGACCAATATCTCTCATGCACACAGACATAAAAATCCTCAACAAAATATTAGCAAATGGAATCCAACAATGTATAAAAAGAATTATGCACCACAACCAAGTGGGATTCATCTTAGGCACGAGAGGCTGACTCAACATTTGAAAATCAATTATGTAAATCCATCACATTCACAGGCTAAAGAAGAAAAACCACATGATCATATCAATAAATGCAGAAGAAAACACTTGACAAGATCCAACACCTATTTATGATAAAAACTCAGTAAACTAGGAATAGAAGGGGAACATCCTCAGCTTTATAAAGAATATCTACGAAAACCCTAGCTAGCATACTTCATGGTGAGTAACTTGAAGTTTTGCCACTATCAGGAACATTTTGACTTTCAGAGAGTACAGGTGCCCAATGGACCCATTTTCTCAGAGACTGTCAGTCTACTGCATTTCACAAACCCACTTACCTCACTCATCAGAAGCCCAAGCTTTTTCTGACCTGAGCTCTTACCCCTGAGCTACTCTGAACATTCCTTAAAGTTACTTAATCTCTAACCCTTCCCCACCACCCACTGGGCACATGGGAACTCATGATGACTTCAACTTTCTTATCTACCTCCTCAACCTCTTCTCTTGAAGAGTCTCTCGTTCATCTTATACTAACTGAAAGCTGACTACCCCTAAGACATCACCTTCCCTGCTATTCTTTAAAGTGGAGGCTTTTCAATTTTGTTCCCACAAACCTCTGTACTTTAAAGGCTGGAGGTAGAACAGGTATATTATTTGCTTTCCATTTCTACTCTCAAAGGAAGTATCTTTCCAGTTTACTTACATATTTACTGAGACCCATCCCTCAGATTATTTATTTCCCCCCTCATTCCAGTATCTCATTTTCCCCCTTTCCCAGTTTAGTCTATGGTCCATCACTGTAATCATTTCTTTGCAAGAGCTTTAATGTCCTTGTCTTTTCTCCTCCTCTTATGCATCTAGAAAAACCCAGACATGGTTATACTTTATTTTGTGTATCTTCACATCTGCTCCTGAACAGTTAATTTTGTCTGGAAGAAACAAAAAAACAAAAAACCCCACAATTGTGTTAACTGTCTTTCTTTAAATTCATAATTACTATTCTAAAATGGGCTTTCAAAATTGCTTGGCAATCCTACAATTCCCTCAATTCACTCTGCCATTCTTGGAGACAACCATTTCTACCTTCTTTCTCCTCAAACCTCCAATACTTTCCACATGACAGCCAAGCTAACATGTTTGCTTCATACTTCACTGAGAAGAAATTGAATGGAAACCCCCAAACCTTCCCACCACTAAATCTACCAAATTACCTCCAAGTGTATCTATTCTCTGCTTTCTCTCCAATTACAAAAGAGGCCAGGCTGCATTTGTGCTCTGAATCTCACCCCCTCTTGCCTTCTCAAGGATTTCACTCTTGCAGTTGTTGCCTGTTGTTGCTGTTGCATCATCACTATCTCTCAATTTACTGGCTTATTCTCACCAGCATATGAAGAGGATCTAACTTCTTATGTTAAAAAACTTACCTACATGACCTCATGTTCCTTTCTAGCTACCAGTACTTCTGCTCCCCTTTATGGCAACGTTTCTTGAAAGAGCTGTCATCTCTAGTCATTGTCTCTCTTTAGCCCACTCCAATCAGGCTTCTATTTCCACCAATCCACTGAAACTACTATTGAAGTCATCAGTGACTTTAATCTTCCACCAGATTTCAGATCCATCCTCATCCTGACTGCTGAGTAGCAACTGACCCTCCTTGGAACACTCTTCTCTTGGCTTCCAAGATGCCACACTTTCTTGGTTTCCCTCCTACCTCACTCCTCTTGAACCTCTTAGTAGTTCCTCTTGCTCTGATGAATTTCCAAATATGGGAATGTCCCAGACTTGGATACTCTTCTCCACGGTTACTCTCTCCCCAGGGCCATCTCATTTACTTCCATGGATTTAGTCAAATATTGTTGACTCCATAATCTATATTTTCAATCCTGACCTCTGTTGAGATCCAGACCTGTATAACTAACTTCTTGATATTTAGACAGGTAACTCTCAGACATCTCGAATTTGACACATCTAAAACAAAATTGTAGATTCGCTCCTAAAACTTGTTCTTTACCTTACTTCCTTACTATTGTTATCACTCATTATTTATTCAAATTATTCCAGACAGAAATCTCAGTGACATCTTGGTTTTTCTCTTTTCCTCACTCTTCATACCCAACCTGTCATGCCAATTCTACTTTCAAAATATATCTCAGGGACTTCGCTGGTGGCGCAGAGGTTAAGAATCCGCCTGCCAATGCAGGGAACATGGGCTCAAGCCCTGGTCCGGGAAGATCCCACATGCCGTGGAGCAACTAAGCCGTCAAGCCACAACTACTGAGCCTGTGCTCTAGAGCCCATGCTCCGCAACAAGAGAAGCCACCGCAATGAGAAGCCCGCGCACTGCAATGAAGAGTAGCCCCCGGTCGCCGCAACTAACGAAAGCCCACGCGCAGCAACTAAGAACCAACACAGCCAAAAAAAAAAAAAAAAAAAGTATATCTATCTATCTATCTATCTCAGATCTGCCTTTTCCCCTCCATTTCTGTCCAAGCTGCCATCATCTCTTGCTTAGATTGCTGCATTAGCTTGTCTGCAGCCTAGACTCATAACCTTTTCCAAAGCATTCTTACAAAGCATATCTAATCGAAATGTAAATTGGATCAAGTCATTCTACTACTTCAACTATGCAAAGGCTTCCCTTTCTAACTTCTAACCATAGTGTTCAAGGCCTTCTGTGATCTGGCTATACCCCTCTCCAATTTCATCTTTTGATACTCCATCTCATTTCAAAATGCTCCAGCCACACTGGTCTTCTTTTTCCAGTTCCTTAAATACACCAAGGCTTATGCATATACTGCTCTTTCTTCTCTTCCTATTTCCAAATAGTTAAAGCCCATTCTTCCTAGTTTTCAGGTACAATGTCACCTTAGAGAGGCCTTCCAAAGTAATCACCCTAATTAAGGTAAGCCCTCCTCAGCCCTTCCCTCTCAACCTGTTTGTTTCCTTGCCTGGCTGCAAGCTCTGTTCTCTGTTGGTCTCGTTCATTGCATCCCATGCCTAGCACAACATAGGTACTCCCTAAATAATACACAGGTTGAATGGTGAATGACTTTATAATCCTTAGAAAGGGGTGGTTTCCCTACATTTACAAATGGCTTAGGAAACATGGTAAGGTTTGTTGTTAAAGGCGCTGCCCAGGGAGCCAGAGATATGAATATAAGCTCCAAGAGCTTTTTAGGCCATATGCACCTGGCACAGCTCTTAATCTGCACTTTTATTTACCCATATTTTCTACCTTGGAAATAAATAAGGACATTAAGAGAAACAGTCAGATACTTTGCTGAGCTCATAATGCACAAGACTACACAATTCTCCTGATCAAAATATAATGGCTCTATGAAAAGGACATTAGGTTAGTTCAGAATGTGGTCTCAGTAAACTCATACTGTTTTGGGGACTTCTGATTATCCTCATAATCACTCTTTTAATCTAATTAGAAAACTTGCATAGAATTGATATCAAGCTCAACAATTCATTAATTCATTCAATCAATATTTGCTGAGTACCTACCATATACCATTCTTCAAGTACTGGAGAGACACTGGTTGAAAAGGATAGACAACATTTTCTCTTATGGAGCTGAGTCTAGTGAGAGAGACGGACAGTAAAAAATAAGAAAATGAGTGCTGGTAAGAATCATGAAAAAGATAAACCAGGCTGATTAGGGAATTACAACGGTTACTTTGAATTGGGTGGTCAGAAAGGGCCAACTTGAAGAGGCTTTATATAAATTGAGAACTAGATGGGAATCCACATTTATAAAATCTACTGGCTTCTCATTTTTAAAATCAGGACATTTGTTCATCTCTAGTCTTCTGTCACCTCTTCATAATTTCTTGAGGATGATTACAATATTAAGTGTTTCTGTAGTATGACAAAGAAAGCAAAATGGCCTCTAAATTAGATATGTAGCATTTACCTCCTTATGAAGACTTTTGTAGCTTCAGCAAGAAACCTGAATTCTTTTTTTTTTATTGGTCCATGGTTAACTGAAGGATTTCCTTCTCTTAGATAACAGTAGATTTATTTACAGCCAATTATTTTCAAGAAATGCCGGTTCTTATTTTGCTTTCCTCAGTACGAAAACTTTAGTTGCAAAGAGCCTGGAATTTCAAACTACATGTCAAAGCTAGTTACTATAAGAATCAAATGTATACTAACAGACAACAGTGGGGATGCAGAGGGTAAAACTTTTTCAAAACCTAAACAACTTATGTAATGGAAAACGAATCTATCAAACTAATTTATTTGGGTCTTTGAAAAAATTTTAATTTAATCACAAGTTTTAGTAAATACATTGCAAAAAAAAAATTTTTTTTTGGCTTCACTGCACGGCACGTGGGAGCTTAATTCCTTGACCAGGGATTGAACTCGCGCCCCCTACAGTGGAAGCACAGAGTCTTAACCACTGGACTGCCAGGGAAGTCCCTAAAGAGCAAATTTACCTTACTAGTCTTCACTAGGTTGGAGACTCTGGGAGAGGTCAAAGTAGGCCAAAGTAACCATCAAAAGTAGTTTCTGCCTCTTCTACTGCAGTATTAGATAAATCATGCCTGGCATGGTAACCTGTGCACTTACTAGAAAACAAAAGCATGAGGGAGGGGGTTATCCACACTTTAGTGATTCAGTAATTTAAAATTTAAAATTTCACTTTGACCTTTCATAAAATTTTAGAAGTGCTAAAACACTTTCAGGTTTACTATTATGTAATTTTCATAAAGTCTTCTGAGGAATAGAAAGCATATTATTATTTTCATTCTCTTTGATGGTAAGACAAAAGAATTTGTTAGAAAGGTGACTATATTTATAAAATCCATATAAAAATAAATTAGGAAATGATTTACATTATTAAAGCATTCATTATAAGTTCGTTATTTGATACATGACGAACAGCTTACAAACAGAGAAAGCTAAAAATTTAAAGAACTGTCAAGTAATTGTCAGAAATAAAGATAAAGCATCTATGAAATCATAAAGTCAATGAGAAATTATTAGTACTATTCAACGATGCATATTTCATATAGAGATATTTATAATATTTCCAGCTTTTTTGAAAATCCGTATCTAAAAATATCCAAGGTTGCAAATGCCAACAGTTCAAGAGAGGGCTGCTTTTCCACCAAGATAGTAGTTTAAAATTTTAAAAAGCAGACTGCTATCAACAAATGACAACCCTAAATAACATTACTGACAAAGAATTTAATACCTATAATGACACAAAATGGTAGTTTACAGACAACATAAATATTGCTACATTAAAGTCCCTCAAGAAATCTATTCATGAAATGATCTAATTGAAACAAATATAATGGAGTAATCTTTAACGAAATAAAAGGAATTAAAATAGTAAAACAGGACTTCCCCGGTGGTGCAGTGGTTAAGAATCCACCTGCCAATTCAGGGGACACGGGTTCGAACCCGTGGTCCAGGAAGATCCCACGTGCCGCAGAGCAACTAAGCCCGTGTGCCACAACTACTGATGTCCGTACGCTCTAGAGCCTGCGAGCCACAACTACTGAAGCCTGCGCGCCTAGAGCCCGTGCTCTGCAACAAAAGAAGCCACTGCAATGAGAAGCCAGCGCACCTCAACGAAGAGTAGCCCCCACTCGCCGCAACTAGAAAAAGCCCGCGCGCAAACAGTCCTCTAATATAGACATGCTTTGAACAGAACTTTCCAGATATTACTGAAGACTCTTTGGAGAAAAGCAAATAATTTACATTCCTCACCACACTGAACTGAAGGAATTATTTATATGCTATCAAAAACACATAATTAACTTTTAAAATACTGTGGTAAGTTTATATTAACTATTGTGTACTTTATGACTGGTATGCTCTTACAGTGAATGGAAATTTTTATTTTAAGATTTTTTAAAATACACAAACAAAGTAAAACATAAAGAAGGCAATCAACACAAAGTTTCCTGTAGTTAGTCCTGAAGGAAAAATAGGAATGATGAGATGTGGCACTCTCAGATTGTGATTAGAACACAGACTCCACAGATGAAACGCATGCAGAGCATCCTTATGTAGTATAAAAATAGTCTAAAATCCAATTATTTTACCAATATGCAGATACATTTACTATTTTTGATTAGTAGCATATAGCTTTAACATATTATTTTTAAACGTACAGAAATAAAATAGTAACAAACCAAGAACACTGCAACGTTACATTACAACTTTCAAACAAGTCTATTCATATGAAAGGCTAAATTTATTTCACAGTTTGCTTGTAAGAGAGTTAACAACCAAAATAAAGTTGGAATATTGTTACCTGGACAATCTGGAGAATTTTAGGAATTAGAGTAGCCAATTACAAAGCTCTTTAAATATACATTATTTACACAAAAAGTAGTTACGAAATTGGTAATCAGCACAAAATGTTAGCGGCAGTTGGCTATCACTGTTCAAAGATCAACAAGGTAGGTCTAGACAAAGTTATGTCCTTAAAGGTCAAATAATGGTCTAAAATAGTTTATGTTAAAAATCAGGGTCATGAAAAGACAATTCAGCCCACACTGATTTCACCTCCCTAAATTTTAGTTCAGGGACTATTTGAACCAATTTTTTTTTTTTTCTGTAAGAAAAGGAAGTTTGATAGCACCTTGAATTGATATCCCATTAAAATTACTTAAATTACTCACAATTTCATTCAGGTTGTAAGTCAATCTGATGTTTAGCAAAGTAATCTTTCAAAAGGTGCACTGATGGAAACAAATGAAGGTCAAGGATACTATGTATAGAGAGGTAGACAGTGCTACTACTCAAGCATCGCTCTTGGAATAATTTAGCAAAATTGTTAACTACGGCACTTCTGGATTTCTGAAAAATTTTAGTCTCTGGCTTGCTTTGGAGCATAATTTCAAATTAACTTTTCATTACTTTGCAAACTTAACTTTAATTTGTATCATTTTTACTTCTGTTTAAAAAGAGCGAGGATGGGAGTTTTACAGCTTGTTTTGGAAGAACACACGCAGTTTCAGTGATTAGTGACTGTCTTGTGTTTAAAGAATCCATATTTTACCATAAAAATCAATGTGAAAATAAGTGGGAAGTCTTACTGACATTAATATATTTAACAGCATAATAAGGGGGACTCACTTGAGATATACTGTGTATCTTGCTAGCTGGTGCCTTTCCAAAAAAACCATTAGCATTTAGATAAATGGAGTCACAAATTAATAAAAATTATCACATTAAAAATATATTTATTCACTAGGTAATAAACATACTAATTCTACTACAGTTCAAAGCAAATAAGAATTTAAACATTTTTTCTTTAAATCACCTCGGAAATGTATTAATTTTATACAACATAATCTTTTTTTAGTAAAAGTAAACGAAAATAGGTAATTTATATAGCTTATATTCTTAAAATAAAATATATTTTAATGAACATACACTTTCTCATTTCATTTTGCTTGGATGTAGGATATAGTGTTTCAAAATGAAAATAAACACACATAGTAAAAACCAAAACCAAAACAAGTATGCAAAAACATTTTATTTATAATAGATCAACATTTTTGACATGAAAGGTAGCCACTTTCAATTTCTCAGGAATGCCTAGAATCCAACAGTTTCCGTAAAGACTAGTTACTTAACAATTATTTCACTGTAGGTAAAAGAAATAATTTCAGAATAAACTTTTTAAATGGCTTTGCCTATGGCAACTTATTTTATAAGCTTTAATATGTGGTAAGCTAGCTTTCCCAGGAAGTGAATATAATCCACCTATGTTCCAAGTGTATTAAACCAGTTTATACAACAAACATGACAATCACCCATTTGTATCAGCTGTGCTCAAAAGAGAATTCTCTTTACCAAAATATGCATTTTTCAAAAAGGCCTCACATTAACCCCTTAAACCAACCACCTCCCTTCTATGTCCAGGACCACTCTTTTCTACTTCAAGTTGCGTTACTTTAAAGACAACTGTCAAATTCCAGTGGAACGGTACACTGACTTAAGACTCTATGTAATATATATCAAACACAAGAATAGTCACTGACTTTAAGGGACAAGGTGATGACTAACCAGTAATAATTTAGCCAATGTCATTTTTAGTTTAGAGGGAAAAAAGCAGCCCCCAAATGTCCTGAACTTTTCTGTACTTCTCTGTAACACACAGAATGAAAAGATAATCTCTGAAATTAAAATCATTAGAAAACATCTTAATAAAATGTTTTATGTAAATAGGTATTAAATATTAGATTCAAACCATTATTTTCTTCTGTATTTCGGTTTGGGAAAAAATGTCACAATTATTAGGTCTTCTTACTTAAATTTAGTTTTGAGAATTTAAATCTACTACACACCAGTATGTAAAATTCACCTTGGTTAACCACTCCCCATGCTTCTGTGTTGGGTTTCCTCAGGTAAGTCCATTATATGCATGTAAGTGATGGGGAGGTTTAAATAGCACTTAAAGAATATTCATGAGAGTGCTGAAATATTGAAAGTTTCATTATTATCTACTTACTGTAGGATTTGCAATTCAAATTCATTGCAGTATTATAAACACTGTGTGAATGGAATGCACACAATTCCTACAGACACACAAACTGAAGTCCAAAAGGCACAGAGTAATGCTGGTGGCTCTTTCTAGTCAGTTAAGAAACAATAAAAAGTCTGCATTATTCTTTCATAATTTAAATACTTAAGTAATCTCCACTTTTATTACTTTATAACAATGACTGCAAATTTACATTATTTTAAGTACCACTGTAATAGCTTAGTGTATCATACAGATATTTGCTAATATCCCATCCAAAAATTAAAAAAAAACCATATATATATATATATATATATATATATAAAATTATTCTGAAAGACAAGAACATAGAGGAGGGACTTGGTACAGACTATCAACTCAATTTTTTATCACCACAGTTGTAACTCCAAAATTAACAGATATACAGCAATAATCAAAAGCAGTGCAAATATCTTTGGAGGTTAAGATAAAATTATAATGCAAGAACATAAAAAAGAAATTAAAAAAGGCAAGTACTTCAAGTACAAGGAACCAGTCTGCTTGAGGTCCATTTAGTGTTTACTGGGGGCTTCCTTCCTGCTTTTACTTCTTTCTCTGAAACACATTGGCCAGCATGGCACCTGATGTTGTCAACTGGCCCATTTTGTTCAAAAACTTGGTCTTTGTATCTTCACTCACTAAGCTTGCAGCAATTGACATTGAGCTAGGAAAGAAATTTTGAAATTCGTGTAAAGCAATTAAAAAACTAAAATATCTATTTTTTCATTTCTTTAGTAGTATAACATTAATAAATGCATTCTGAACTGGTATCACAAAAGGGAAACTAGTATTTATGGAGTAGAGTTTTTTGGTACCATAATAGGTTAGCAGCTTTCATGTTCATTGTTTTTTTAAAGGAAGCAGTGTGGTATAGTGATTAGGAGAAAGTGTGGAATGAGACTGAATCTCGGTTCTGTCATTTACCAGCTGTATGACTTTGGGCAAGTTATTTAGTCTCTGTTTCCTCATCTATAAAATGGAGATAATTCTAGTACCTACCTCACAGGGCTATTTAGGATTATACGAGTGTAAAGTGCTTATTAGCAGTGCCAGGCACGTAATACCATGCTCTAACTGTTAGTTATTCTTCTTATTATCAGCATTACTTCATTTAATTCTTACAGCAACCCTGGGAGATAGATATTATCCCTATTTTCACAGATGAGTAAAGGAAATCTCAGTGAGGTCTTTAACAATCCTAGGACACATTACTTTTTTTGGGGGGCAGGGTTGGGGAGAAAAAACATGTCCTCAATTGCCAATTGCACTAGTTTTGATGGACAGTGTTAAATCTTTTCCTTTCTTTTTGACCAACCTTCTGTGTAGGAAGTAAGCACAATTTAAATGACTACTAAACACAGCTGGTTTATCATATTACTGAACAGAGTATTGATAAAGGACAATTTTTCAGTGATCCAACAATTGTGCTGTAATGGATTCAGGAATCCAGCTTATTGGCCTTGTGGCTTTGGCCAAGATGCTTTAAATCACTGTGATTCAGTTTCCTCCTCTGTAAAATTTTGTAACTGTTACTGCAAAATATCTTGAGGACTAAGTAAGAGAATATGTTTGAACATGTCAAAGACAATGAGTGGCGAGCGAGGTACAGGAGCTCAACAGATGTCTGTTAAATCTACACGTGAAGTATGTGCTGCTACCTAAGACCTCTGGTTCTATGTGGTCTTTAAAGGTGTGTGCTGAGTTACTCAGTTAAATACCCGACCACGATGCCCATCCTGAAAGTCTCTTCTTCCCATTGCTCTCCTGCCAGTACATCAACCTGGTCTGACCCTACGTGCTCTGAATACCCCTCTCTTGCTGCTTTTCCTCTTCCCACAAAGTAATCCTCCATAAGGCTCAGCATTTGGCTCTAGTTCTTCAATTAAAAAACTTACTCATTCTATAAGTTTTAAGTAACATCTCCATAGGATGACTCAAAAATATTTATTGAATCACAACATTTTTCCTGAGGGCCAGTCCCACATTACCACTGTTTGCTACATAAAGCCAATGTCTCAAGTTTTTTTTCATACCCTAACTTTAGAAATAACTCCCCACTTTTATTTCTGAGTACAAGTCTTTCACCTCCTTAGGCAGCTTTATTCCTAGGTATGTCATGCTTTTTGTTGTGATGGTAAATGGGAGTGTTTCCTTAATTTCTTTCTGATTTTTCATTGTTGGTGTATAGGAATGCCAGAGATTTCTGTGCATTAATTTTGTATCCTGCAAATTTACCAAATTCATTGATTAGTTCTAGTAGTTTTCTGGTGGCATCTTTAGGATTTTCTATGTATAGTATCATGTCATCTGCAAACAATGACAGTTTTACTTCTTTTCCAATCTGTATTCCTTTTATTTCTTTTTCTTCCCTGATTGCCGTGGCTAGAGTGAACATCCTTGTCTTGTTCCTGATCTTAGTGGAAATGCTTTCAGTTTTTCACCGTTGAGTATGAGGCTTGCTGTGGGTTTGTCACATATGGCCCTTATTATGTTGAGGTAGGTTCCCTCTATGCACATTTTCTGGAGAGTTTTTATCACTCACTTTTATTTCTTTACTTGCCAGTGGTTCTATCCTTTTCCTCTCTTCCCAACAGTGAATATAATGGCTCTCCATTTCAAACTATCATCAAATCTTGTGACTTTATTCTACAACATCTTCTCTATTGTTTACTTTTATTTCTAATGCCAATACTTTACAACTGAATTATTCCAAAAGTTTTAGATCTGGCCTCCTTGCATTAGTCAGATTCACCTCTTAAATAATCACTTCTTTATATCACACCCCTTCTCAAAATCTTCAGTGGTCACTTACTACCTACAAGATAAAATATGCATGGCATTCAAGAAACATAGCAATCTAATTCTTGTGTGTGTGTGTGTGTGTTTAACCAACCATCACTACTTAACTTCTAGACCCCCTTGAGTCAGGTTTGCCTAGTCTAATTGTTCAAACCATTCTCAACTTAAATATTTCTTCTTTTATCTCGTGTCTAGCCATCTTTTAATTCCCAGCTCAAGCCCTATCTTTTCCATGATGACTTTCCTTAACATTCTAGGTTTATAGTACTGTTTTTTTTTTTGTAGGAAACAGTGTTAAGTAAAAGATAAGTATGATTTTAGTTTGTATCTACAAAAACAGGATACATGGCTCAGATAATACTTGAGATACCATGAAGTCTTTTTTAAAAAAATATTTATTTATTTGGTTGCACTGGGTCTCAGCTGCGGCAGGTGGGCTCCTTAGTTGAGGCTCGCCAGCTCTTTAGCTGTGGCATGCAAACTCCTAGTTGTGGCATGCGTGTGGGATCCAGTTCCCTGACCAGGAATCGAACCCGGGCCCCCTGCATTGGGAGAATGCTTCCCTGGGAGTGTGCGCCACCAGGGAAGTCCCCCATCAAGTGTTAATGATATTCTAAGAAGAGTGCAACAATGATGCTAAGGAGTCTGGAAACCATAAGAGATAAAAGTGAAAGGAATGAAGAATGTTTGGTTTGGAGAAGAGAAGATTTAGGAGACTTAAGATAACTCTCTGTGTTACTCATGAAAAATGAGATATATAATATATATCTGCACAGCTGTATATATCCATAGAGCTCTATTGATGCACATCACAATTACCTGGGGGAACTTTTTGAAATGTGGACACCTAGATGTAACCCCAGTGATTCTGATTTTTTCTATCTGGGGTAGAGGACCCACGTATGTATTTTACAAAGCTTTCTAGTGAAGAACCATTACATTATGGCTTTTTTTTTTTTTTTTTCTGAAGAAAGAGTTTACATTTTTATCAGTTAGACAAAAGGGTCTGACTCTGACCCCTCCGCCAAATGATGAAAACCTGGTATAGAGAGTAGATGTTATAGGAAGGGAGACTTTAACTCAGGATGAGAAAGGAATATTTTAAAAACAGAGTTGTTAAAAATGAAATGGGCTGCCTTGTAAAGTAATGTCTTCTTACTGCAGGCTTTCAAGGGATTCTCAGATCTTTCCTTTGCAACTCATAGCCAACCAGCTGTCATTTCTTATTGATTCTGAATCTATAAAATCTCTTACTTCTGGCCTATCTTTAAAATTATTTATGTCCTAGAATAGTTCTCTCTCTCTCCACATCACTATATCTTGCAAATCAAAGATCACTATTCCTTCTCTTTGAAACCCCTATTTGATTTTTTGACACCACTCTGATTTGCCTCCTATTTCTCAGTTAAGCTTCTCGTAAATGCTGCACTTTCAAAAAAAAATTATTTATTTTATTTATTTATTTTTGGCTGCATTGGGTCTTCGTTGCTGCATGTGGGCTTTCTCTAGTTGTGGCAAGCAGGGGCTACTCTTCGTTGCGGTGCGCGGGCTTCTCCTTGCAGTGGCTTCTGTTGTTGTGGAGCATGGGCTCATGGGCTCTAGGTGTGCGGGCTTCAGTAGTTGTGGCTCTTGGGATCTAGAGCACAGGCTCAGTAGTTGTGGCGCACGGGCTTAGTTGCTCCCGGCATGTGGGATCTTCCCGGACCAGGGCTCGAACCCGTGTCCCCTGTATCGGCAGGTGGATTCTTAACCACTGCACCACCAGGGAAGTCCCTTAAACGCCGCATTTTAAATGTTGGTCTAATTCCAGGTCTGAGCTCCCTTTCCAAGTGATATCATCTATCCACCTCTAGTCCTTACCTAAGCCTTTAATTACCACCTATATCCTAATGGTTCCTAAATCTCAATAACTGCTTATAGTGTTTTTCTTCCTGTACCTCAAATTTTAAATATTCCTCTTCAGAACAGTTCCATTTGGTTGTACGGTGCCATCATTCAATCTGGGAATTCTTATTAGATTCTAGTTCTCTCTTACTCTAATCTGTTGCCATGTTAAACTGAGTTCACATTTGAATATATCTTGAGTCCATCTTATTCTCATACTCACTGTTATATATAGGCAGTAAAACATGGTGGTTAAGACCATGGTCTCAAGAACCACAATGCCTGGGTTTGAATTCTGGTTCCTCCACTTAGTAGCTAGGTGGCCTTTGAGCAAGTTACCTAACCTCTGCGTCATCTGTAAAATGGGAATAGTAATAGTATCTACTTCATAGGGTTATTATGATAAATTATTAGCAAATATATGAAAAATGCTGAGAATGGTGTCTGGTTCATGAATGTATCTTATTATTACCTGCCCATCCATGCCCATACCTGCCTTCATCATGGGTTACTACAGTAGCTTTCTGTTCCACCTGCTTCTCTGTTGCTTGTATTCACTAGAGCATGGCTTCCAAAGCAGTGGTTCTCAAAGTGTGGCTCCTGGACCCAGAGTATTAACATCACCTGGGAATTTGTTGCAATTCAAATTCTCAGGCTCCATCCCAGATCTTCTGAATCAAAAACTCTGGAGATGGCACCCAAAAATTTCCAGGTGATTCTGATGGACCCTAAGGCCTGAGAAGCAAAGTTACTAAGGGTTGGTAAACTAAGGGTCACAGGCCAAATCCAGTCTGCTGCCTGTTTTTGTAAATAAAGTTTTATTGGAATGCAGCCATAGCCATACATTTCCATATTGTCAATGGCTGCTTACTGCTACAATAGCAGAGTTCAATTGTGTACTTGTAACAGAGACCATATGAATCGCAAAGCTTAAAATATTTACTGTCTTTACAGAGAAAGTTTGTTGACTCCTGGCCACAGGATAAGTCCAAACCTCTCACGTAGCATACAAAGTTCTTTATTAATGGTGCCCGTCTACCTTTATAGACTTATCTCTATTGTTCTCCCGTACATACTCTGTGCTGTAGCTTTAATTACAGTTCCCAAATATGCTTTTCTGAACTTTTTTCCCTTTGCACAGTGCTGATATTTCTGCATGTAATCCCTTTTCTCTTTTCTTTTGCCTCCGGTTGGAGGGTGGATCAGTTCATTACTTTGGAAACTGGTACATACAGAGAAAGAATTGAACATTTATCTTGTCTTTACTATATAAATGGTATAACTTGGTAAAAATAGTACATATGGGGGACGGTTTTCTTTCTGAAGAATTCTAGCTCACAAATGAAGAAGGAATGATAGAGTAATACATTTTGTAATTGCTAATGAATTAACGGATCTGGCATTCATCATTAATAGACGTTAACATCACCAAAAAAAGAGAGAAGCAGACATTACCTGCCTCACGATGAAAACACACCTCCTCCTATGTAGAAGTCTTGGCAAATAAAAAACATGCCCCAAACCTGATTACATCTCTAGATCTAGATCCAACTAGTAAATTTATGGGAAATACAGAGGAACATTTTGAACCACACAAGGGAAATGCAATTAGCAAGATTTGGACTGTGGGAACCTCTATAGGACAAATGACTCAGTTCCTTCAACAAGTAAGTTGTATGGAGAAAAAAAGAGATACAAGGGGGAACCTCTGAATTAAAAGAGATTCAAGAAACATATTAACCACTTATAATATATGGAATGTTGGATCCTGACTCAAGGAAACAAACTGTAGGGAAAAAACGAACAACAAATCAATAATGACATTTATGAAACAATTAGAAATTTGAACAAAGGCCAGATAATAAATGATATTAAGGAGTTGTTATGGTGTGATGATACTGTGTTTATGTTTAAAAAATAGCACTTATCTTTTAGAGATGTACATCAGAATATGGGAGGGGAGAAGAGTTGGGTATAGATGAAATAAAATTGACTATGAGTTGATAATTGTTGAAGCTCAGTGATGAGTACATGGGAAATCATTATACCATGTTTATTTTTGTGTTAATTTGAAATTCTCTACAGTAAGAGTTAAAAAAAATAAATGATAATATAGAGGATTTGAATAACATTTACAATAGCCAGGACATGGAAGCAACCTAAGCGTCCATCGACAGATGAATGGATAAAGGAGATGTGGTACATATATACAATGGAGTATTATTCAGCCATAAAAAGGAACGAAATTGGGTCATTTGTAGAGATGTGGATGGATCTAGAGACTGTTCTACAGAGTGAAATAAGTCAGAAAGAAAAAACCAAATACCGTATATTAATGCATATATGTGGAATCTAGAAAAATGGTACAGATGAACCGGTTTGCAGGGCAGAAATTGAGACACAGAGTAGAGAACAAATGTATGGACACCAAGGGGGGAAAGCAGAGGCACGTGTGGGTGGTGGTGTGATGAATTGGGAGATTGGGATTGACATGTATACACTGATATGTATAAAATGGATGACTAATAAGGACCTGCTGTATAAAAAAATAAATTTTAAAAAAAGAGTTAAAAAATAAATGATAATATAGAGGATTTGAATAACATGGGAAAATATGATTATAAATGTGAGCTTTTTTTTTTTTTATTAAAAAGGAAGGTCATATAACCAAAGCAATCTTAGAAAGTTACAAAGAGATTTCTTTCTTGTAAAATTCCTGCATGATAATTCATGAAATTTCATTTAGAATGTATTTCACATATAATTTTTCTCAGTTTTGGTCTAAAACCTTTTACACCTTAAACTAATAAGGCACCAAATAATTTTAATATTTAATATACAACAAATGAACAGAATTATTTGCTTTAATGTTAACTTTATGGATTTTGTGTTCAGAATAGAAACCTATCAAAGTATGTCTATTGTTTTATAACTTTCCATGGCTAAAATGATAGAAGAGCTCCCACCATTCTAGGAGACTAAAGCAAGAGTTCTGACTCATAGTAAAAGGCAAAAGACTCTGTGTGTGTGTGGGGGGGGGGGGGGGGGTTGTGGGTGTGGAGGAGTGTGTTTCTGTGTATCTAGCCTGACAAGATGAAACACTTATTCCTGGTAGTCAGTTTTATAAAGGAAACACCATTGAGCTTTTCATGCCTAACAGAGTCCATTTAAGATCAACTGGTCAAGGTTACTTCAGAAAGAGTTAGAGACTATTTGTAAATTATTTCCTGTCCTGAAATGCCCAACTTTATTCTTTCACATCTATGTTCATATTTTAATTTCACTGAATCTTTGAATTCTAATTAGTTTGGTTAGAAGCATGGGACTAGAACATTCACAAGTTGACAATCCTTTATGCAGTGAATCAAGTTAAATCTTACAACTCCTCTCATAAATTTCTACAAACTACGTTCACCAGTGATTCCCAAATCCAGCTACCTATCAGAATCTGTTTGGAAGCTTGTATTTATTTTATTTTATTTTTATATTTTACTGAAGTATAATTGATATACGATCTTATATAAGTTACAGGTTTATAATATAATGATTCATAATTTTTAAAGGTTGTACTCCATTTATAGTTATTATAAAATATTGGCTATATTCCCTGTGTTGTACAATATATCCTTGTAGTTTATTTTATACATAATACTTTGTACCTCTTAATTCTCTACTCCTATATTGCCCCTCTCTCCTTCCCTCTCCCCACTGGTAACCACTAGTTTTTTCTCTATGTCTATGAGTCTATTTCTTTTTTGTTATATTCACTAGTTTGTTGTATTTTTTAGATTCTTCATATAAGTGATATCATACAGCATTTGTCTTTCTCTGACTTATTTTGTTTAGCATAATACCCTCCAAGTCCATCCATGTTGTTGTATATCGCAAAATTTCATTCTTTTTTATGGCTGAGTAGTATTCTACTGTATGTATGTATGTATGTGTGTGTGTGTGTGTATGTGCATGTATATATATATATATACGCACACACACACACACACACACACACACACACACACACACACACCACGTATTCTTTATCCATTCATCTGCTGATGGACACTTAGATTGCTTCCATACCTTGGCAATTATAAATAATGCTGGCTGCTATGAACATTGGGGTGCATATATCTTTTCAAATTAGTGTTTTTGTTGGAAGCTTTTAAATATACAGATCCCTAGGCTGACTCAGAATGTTGAGGTCACAGAGAATGAGATAGAGATCTGAATTTTATATTTCCCAGATGGTTTATGGATTAGCATTAGAGAAGCTGCTGTTTTAAAGGATTTTCTTGTCTTCCAAATTAATGACTACAAAATAACACAATATAAAACACTACACCCACCTGAAGAAAATTTATATAGAGAAATTAAGGTTAACTAAAGCCTTAAAAAAAGAATTAACGTCTTACCCTTGAGGCTCTTGGACGGTCTTGTTCTCTACTTTTTGTTCACATTCTTTTATCATGGAAGTTAAAATAACCTGATTTTAAAAAAATGACTTTAGAGAAATACTGTTAACATAGTAAAATGCTATGGTTTAAAGTTTTTAATTGAATTTTTAATATTCCCATAAGCTAATATGTTAACTAAAAATTGAAAATTTTGGCAGTTACTTAGTTAAAGGAATTCACATTGGATTGCTAGACTAGGTACCGAAATAGCTTTAAAAGATCTCAATCGTATAACTCAATAATTCACTTTGATTTTCACTAACCTTCCTTCTGAGTCTGATTCCATTCTCCCTTAGCTTTCCCCACTATCTAATGTTAAAAGTAAAATTTATATACATTTAAAAAATACACATACCATGGTCAGACATATTTTCCCAGTAAAAGCTGTTCTGTCCCTTGCTTTTTCCAGGTTGCTAAAAGCAAGATGCTCTATTTTAAAGTCTAGGGCAGAGACCAGATATAGGTCTGTGGTCACTAAAACTGGGGAGACAATGGGTGTCTAAGAGTTGCTATCACTCTTGCGGGGAGACTGAGTGAGTAATGGAAAGGGTGGAGGGATGGAAGCTACTGCCCCAAGTGCTGGCACCCACACCAGAAACCAAATTGCCCTCCTGAATTTTCTTGGCCCATATTTGTGCACGGAGGTCACTAGACAACAAACTTATTGTCACCCTCTACGTGCTAGGCATGTTTTTAGACACAGAGGATGCAGCAAATAGACAACATTCCCTCCTTGTGGAGAGCTTATGTTCCTTTGTTATAGACAACAAACACAAAAAATAAGTAAATCATATAGTATATTACAAAGTGATAAGGGCTTTGGAAAGAACACTGAGTGAGATAAGGGGTATAGAAGGCCAAAGTGAAGAATATTACAATTTACATGGAGGTGTTCTAAGCAGGTTTCATGGAGAGGATGATATTTAAGCAAGAACCTGAGGGACATGAGGAGTAAGTGTGTGAGACCCTGGTTAGAGGCTGAGCAAAGACTCCAGGTGGGAGTATGTCTATTGTATTCTAAGCCTGGAAGCCAGAGTGGTGGGTGCAGAGTGAGCAAGGGGGAATGCAGAAGGTGAGGCCTGGGAGGTAAGGAGGAAGGAGCTGGGTCCTCTAGTGCCTTGCAGATTATGGTAAAGACTTTTGATTTTGTAATGTTTTCCCGCTCTGTCATCTGACACATTACAGATTTAGTTTGTTTGGCTCTTTTCTTTTGCATCAGTGTTTTTTTGGGAGAGTTTTTGTACTTTCTCTTCCGCTCCCTGTATTGGCCGTTCCCTCCAGTATCCTTTTTCTTGTGTGTATATTTTCATCTCTGTCTTTGATGTCAGAGGCTTTTTTCAATGGTTGGTGATCTTGGGATATCCACTAAAGACTGAGGTACTAAAACATTGATTAGAATCTCTTCATGCATGAGTAAATTCACTTTAAGGTGACTCTGGCACAAACTTTCTGCCAATCTTTTTTTCCCTGCAAATATAATTCTGGCTGCCACCCCATTCCTGGAGCTAAGAAGGAGAAAGGTAATGAGGTTTCTAATGATTAACTATATCTTTGACTTAATTTCCCTTCTTTCATTATAGCACCTTATTCCTGCTCTCAGCTAGGCCTGATATCTCAAGTCTAGAAAGGAAAGCTCCAGTCTTCCACCAAGGTTCAAAAGGGAATCTGGGAGTCTGGTCCTTTCAAAAACTTTTAACCACTCCCCCTATTTTCAGTCCCACCCTACACTAATGGAAGGTAGTGAAAATAAGGTTTCTTATTTGTTCTATTCTACAAGTAGTCTTCATTTTCGATGCAAAAATCCTGAACAGAATACTAGTAAACTGAATCTACCTTCATATAAAAGGAATTATATACCATAACCAAGTGGGATTTATTGCAGTAGTGCAAAGGTTGCTTTAACATGTAAAAATCCATTAATATAAAACATTGTAAGAGAATAAAAAACACAACCATGTAATCATCTCAACTGATGCAGAAAAAAACATTTGACAATATTCAACACCCTTTCATGATAATAATACTCAAGCAACTAGCAAAAAAAGTGAACTTCCTCAGGCTGATAAAGGGAATCTATAAAATATACAAAGCAAAAATTGAGAAAACTGAAAGGAGAAAGATGTAACTCACAATCATAATTTTAACATGTCTTTCAATAGCTGATAGAACAAGCAGATTACAAAAAACTAATACAAATATAAGAGAACTGACTCATAAAATTAACTACCTTTACCTTATGAAAAAAATCCATGGATCAATAAAAATATAATGGAAATGAGAATCTAATTTGAACTAAATGATAACAAAGCTACAATGCAGTAAAAGGGATGTGGCTAAAGGAGCGCTTAGAGCCTTAAATTTATGTATCGGAAAAGAAGAAAAGTTAACAAGTAAATAATCTAAGTCTCCTCCTTAAGGAGTTAGAAAAACAGAAAAAAAAATCAAATCTAAAGAAAGCAGAAGGAAATAAAGATGAAAATAGAAATCAATGACACTAACACATAGAGAAAAGTCAACACAGCCAAAAGTTCAATATTTGAAAAGGTTAATAAAATTGATAAACCCCTATCAAAAGTATTTTAAAAAGAAAGCAAGAAACAAATTGATATCAGAAGTAAAAGAGGGGTAGCAATATAATAGATCCTACAGTAAGGAAAAGGGAAAAAAATAAAAGTATTACACAAGAATCTATTATTTACAGGTGACTTTTCTACACTTGAAACTTATAAAAATTCCAGTGACATTTTGTTATTAGAATTAATAATAAAGTTTCTCAGGTTGGCCAGACATAAGTTCAACATACAAAAGTTATATTATTTCTAAACATCAGCAAGAAAGGGTTAAAAACCATATAATCCTAAAAAAGGTAGCATTATAACATTATAGATATAAAGTGACAGTTTTTTCAAACAAAGTTATAAAACTTTATTAAAAGACATTAAAGGAGATCTAAATAAACATAAGATATAGTATATTCTGGATAGGAAGACTCAAAATCATGAAGTTGATGTCTCTCCCAATTAATTTATAGAATCAACTCAATTTCAATCAGAATCTCAATGAGATCTTTCTTGGAGTCTCATAAAATAATCCTAAAATTTACATAAAAACGCTAAGGGTCATGAACAGTTCTAAAAAAGGACAGGGTGCTGGACTTGCCCTATTAGATTTTAGGACTTTTTAACAAGGCAACTGTAATGAAGACAGGGTATCAATGTTACAATAATTGAGAAAGAGACCAGTGGAAAAGAATGTTCCCTAATAACAGACACATGCATACAAGGAAACATCATCTATGATAGAGGTGGCACTGCCAATCAGTATAGACATGATGCACTGTTCAATAAACAATAATGGGACAACTGGTTATCCATATAGAAAAAAATGTAACTTAAGCACTACCTCACATCATATGTAAAAACTAATTTTAGATGGATTAAGAATTTTATTGTGAAAATACAACTTTAAACATTTTAAGAAGTATAGGAGATCATGTCATGGAACTGATCAATCAATCTATTAAAAAATTAAAAATCAGTGTTCAAATGGGCCAGAAATGTGAAAAAACATCAAAAATTGGAAAAAGACATTCATAAAACACAAAACTGACTGAATACTAATATTCCAATTATATAACAAACTTCAAGGAAATAATAGGAAAAAAGACAACCCAAAGTGGGAAAAATGGGCAAAAAGCCTAAAAAGGCTTTGACGTTAGTGAACATACAAATAATTCTCAAGTTTGACAATAATCAGGGAAATGCAAATGAAAACCATAATGATATACCACTTTATATCTACTGAATTTAAAAAGTCTAAGAATACCAAGTGTTGACAAAGATATGGATGAAAAAGCTACATACTCCTGCATGCTCCTATCAGGTCTGAAAAGTGTCCTTTCGGTGCAGCACTTTGATCAGTAGTGATCGTAGAGACAGAAGTTTTGTTGGATTACTGTGATGGTAATGAATACGACGTACCAACAGACAGTGTGAAAGTTGAGAGAGGGGGTGTAAACTGCTGGGAGGAAAAAGAGATATGAGGGAGGGATGAAGAGAAGATTTTGTTTTTGTTTTGATTTGTTTAGGAGAGAAGAGTCAAACACAATAATAGGTTAAAGAAAAGCTGCTAGAAAAACAGGCTGAAGATATAGAATAGGAAATAAATGACAAACAGGGTTTTGGAGAATACAGGAAGACAAATAGAATGAAAAGAGTTATGAGGAAATGGAGAGAGAAAATAGAAACTTTGCTTCTAAGAAAGTTAATGGTCAGAGATAATACTGTACAGCATTTTATAGATAAAAAGCATTTCACATACACTCTCTTACTAAATTCTAACTATATTCAGTGAAGGACAGTACGTTATTCCTACTTTAGAGAATTAAACAGAAGCTCAAAGATGTTGAAGGAGTGTCTTAAGATCTCATAGCTAGTAAATAAATCCATAAAATGATGCTGAACTAGACTTTAAAAAATTAGGCACAGCATATCATAATCACACCTCATATGGAGAGGAATCAAAGTCTATATAGGAGATATTAAAACACATGAACATGGCACTGATAATCACAGTGGCTTAATCATGATAGTAGCTTACCTCATGCTCTGGAGAAAGATGTTCCATGTCAATTCGTAAACATCTGAGACCAGGTAAGAAGTGATTAACCATTAAATCCTCTGAAATGACTTGAGATGAGGTAGTTAAGGAGATTAAAAAAAACCAAACTGATATGTCCAACAGAACAACAGAAGAATATAGAAGAAGCAGATCTCTTAAATGCTGCCTATGGCATGCTGATCACTTAGAGCAAACAGGCTTCTGTCAAGCACGATCTGTATTTGTTGAGTTAGTTACTTGTCAAGAGGCAACTGTGTTTATTCCCACAAATCTCCTTATGTCAGTGGCATTGATTATTGTAACAGCACATAATTTAATTACATGGTATGTAAACGTATGAAATAATAAGGGTGAAAATTAAATCATGAAATTTAACTGGATGTTTAAATGAGTATGAAAAGTAAAAAAATTAATGTTTCCATGACAACTAAGTTGAAAGTTTCAGAAAAAATTGATAAAGGCCAGTTGCTTAAAACACTGTTGCTTGGATACATATAGCTGATTCACTTTGCTGAACAGCAGAAACTAACACAACACTGTAAAGCAATTATACTCCAATAAAGATGTTAAAAAAATTGCTGCTTAATTATATATATGACAACTATAAATATATACATATTTAAATATAAAGAAAAATATAAAAATCTAGAAAAATTCAGTACCCAGTATCAGAAATGTTTCTGGATTCTCTTTAAAGAAACTTAAGCTAAAATTCATAGACAATTATATTATGAATGTGGTTCACCTAAGAAAGCTGATGTTTAATTCTAATCAGCAGACACACAAAAGAAATGCCTCAGTCCTACATCAAAAGCTTGGTAAAAGAAATGACATTTATGTGTTTAAGTTAAAAGAAGTTCTCTTAGGTATATACCATTTTCCTGATTTCTTACTCTAACCATTCTATTAAACTGACCCACACTGATCCTCACTGAATTGGGCAAGAGAGCTTTTGCTGTAATAAGTTTTAGTACTACTTATATTTCCTAGCCATATGAGTTGTAGTTGATTATATGACATTGAAAGGAGTCAGGAAAGCAGATGCATTTCTCAAAGAATTCACCTTGTTTATTCACATCGCTTCTGACACATTCTCACCTATTACAGTTGTGAGCCGTCTAAAAATATTTCTTATTTAATATTATACCATATTAAAGTGAAAAATGCCAGTAAATGAGTTCCTTTATAAAGATGAGTTAGTCTTTCTGAAAAAAATAATAAATTATATTAAGTAAAAAAAAATCCATATAACTACTGCCTTAAAAATATAGTTATAAATAAACACTAGTTGTAAATAAAACTCCTATAATTGAATGACTTATAAATAGGCAGTTATAAAAATATAGACATCATTTGGTTGAACCAAATCCCTATAGATATACAAAGTTCTACAACCTAATGGCTATGTAGTTTTATTTTCTGGGTATAGGAAAAGTATCACCTAGATATATCTGTGAGTGACCTTTGGATTAGAGAAAGGTCTCTGATCTAGAGAAATCTGGGCATGGATTGAGAAACTGAAAATGGCCTTACTTGGTGGTAAGAGGGAAGACACTTTCCTTCTCCTCTCTATCTACCCACTGTTTGGTCCTTTTCCCCCATGGAACCCCACAATCTTTCTTAGGGGATGGAAACTTAGAGATCATTTAGTCCTATCTGATGTTAGGAATCACCTCTACCTCATCTGTGAATGGTGGTCATAAAGCCTCTGACTGCTAACAATGACAGGACATTCAGTTTTGTAAGACAGATCACTGCATTTTTAGAGAGCTCAATTTGAAAGTTTTTCTTATAAACACAATAGGCCTCTCCATGACCTCTGCTTGTTAGTGTTTGCTCTGCACTTTAGTTACACAAGCGTGCCTAACCTTTTTTCTATATAACAACCTTTAAAATAATTCTCAAATTATCTTTTCATCCCTAAACCATTTCTTTTCCAGGTTAAACATTTCTAAATTCCTTCAAATTTTTCTTAAACATGATTTCTTGACTTAATACCATGCCAAATGTTAAATTATATAGATTTCCTATGTCCCTATTGAAATACGATGTCGTGCTGAAAGGAATACTCTTGTGTTCTATCAGCTCGTAATTCAATAGAACAGCAGAACAGATATGGACAATGTGATTTTATTAGTGGCCATAACCACCCTGTTGACACAAGTACAAGTTCTGACTCACGGAGAACTAACACTTTTAGTACTTGAACAGGGTCTATTGTTAAGATGGTTCTTCCCCTTACTGTGCTGTTATAAAGACTTTTTGCTGTATTTTCTCTAGTAATATTCTGTACATACCTTAAATACACAATAATATTCCTTCTATACAGACTTCTATGCTCTTCAGAAACCACTGCTTAGTCCATTTGAAAATTAGGTTAACAGAGCTAAAATTTTTAATCTTTTGACTTTCTCATTTTCCTTGAGGCATATTTCTTTAGAAACTCTGCTATATAAGATTCCACACAACTCTTCACTTAAGTTTGTAAACATTTACTTTCGCAAAGTTTAGGGAATAGGTATAAGCGTATCAATGTTTTCTTTCTTTGACATGCCAAACTCTGACATGCCATTATTACTTTCTTGTAAGGGCCTGTCACTTCTCCATTACTAAAGAGTCCTTTCTTGCTAATTCAGAATTATCACTTCCTCTTTTTGCTTCCTCTATCTTCTCTAAGTTGAAAATGCCAACAAGATAAATCAGGAATGATAGTAAGTTCTGCTTTTAGTGGAATTAAACTTATAGAAGGTATATGGTTAGTTGAGGCAAAATTATCAAAATATGGTATCTCTGCCCACTTTATGATCTATAGTATAAGAAAGTGGCTTATATCAGCCACACGAATAGGCAATTTGTAGCAGAGTCCCAAAATGAAATGCTCTCAACCACACATCGAACTTCAAGTTTTAACATTTCTAAAAGGACAAGTAGCTCCTTAACAGACAGCTCTGCATTTCTTTCTCTACCATCATTTTTTTTTCTGTCAAAATCATAATTCTCTGATTATGTTGTCTAGCACATATTTTTACGGTTATATTCAAGTGTTCAGCCGTTCACTCAGTTTTCAATCTCTTATTTCCTCCTTTCTTGAAATATTCTGGCTTTTAATAGGAGAGCCTAAAAGCTAGAGTTTATTCTGCCCATATTTATCTTTACTTCCTTCTTACTTTTATTTTACTAGGCCAAGGATATTAAAGAGAACATTTAACAGGATAGCTAAAGTTCACCATTCTAGTCACAGTTTTGCTTTTAATTATAAAAAACAGAAGTCACAAATGCCTTTAAGTTTGAGTTTAGTCATTTATAAAATGTAGTGGTTGACATGGGTTAGAGATCTCTGAGCTTTCCTCCAGTTCTACCATCACTGCAAATGATTAACCATGGTGTCCCTGTATTTTTTTTAATGAGTGATATCTCTCCAAGAGATATTCACAGGATCATAAAGACGGTTAAACATTCATTAAAAATGAATGCCAGGACACATACAAGGATTCCTTTTGATTAACAGAAGCCTCAGTTATAACTCATTGCTTGCTTAGTTATATAGCTGATTAACATACATACAATTTTAGTCAATGTTTTCAAAACTATGGAACATATAAACACAGAAGACTTAAAGTTATCTTTTAAAATTATGAGATGGCTAGAATAAGGAGCCATCTTATGGGGCAAGTCAACTCAAATTTTTAATCTTCTACTTAACTACTTCTTAGTTAAGTTGAAGAAAAAAATTCTACTTCTCAATCTTTAACAACTGAGGTTCACTGTAAGACTGATTATTAAATATAGGTATACATTAATAAAGCAAGGATACAACAACAGGAAAGTGCACTGTAGGCTTCAAAAAGATGGGTAGCAATATCCAGTCTTTTAGAATCCACGATTTGTAAGTTGTTCACCAAGGCTAACTTATGCAAATGTGGTATAACAACTGAAAAAAGAAAAAGAAATTATTAATTTTAATCTAAAACATGCTTATACATTAAAAAAATAATTTTTCATTTTATTTTATAAAATTTTATTTTAATTCTGGATGATTTCAAAAGATTACCCACATCCCATACTTGCTTTTTCGTACTAGGGAAGAAAGCATGTTTTTCAGAATAAATAGTGATCTAGAATTTGGGAGAAATAGATTATAGCATGCCATTATAACCTAATTATGAGGATGTATACAGGTCATTTGGCTTCACCGCAATTCAGTTTCCCAATTCGAAAAATGAAAGCCAAATAAACAAATGTAAACAACCTATCTCTTGTGTTATTATCAGCTTTATAAATAAGTTTATATAAATCTTGTATTACTGTTGCTATTAAAAAGATAAATACAGTATACTGATTCATTTTCAATATCAAATTATTTCACTACTTCATGAAACTATTATTAGCTTTGGTTCCTCAAGTTCTTAGCAAAGACCAGTGTCAAATAGCACTGGTGGTTGAGTTTTCAAGTCACCTAATGGGCTCAATATCTTATATCTCAATGAATAGTGTAAAATTTCAAAAATACAGACAACACATTGCTAAAATTAAAGTGGTGGTCCAAGAAACAGTAACCATTTCAGTAGCACTGAGCACTCCTACTGCCTAAGATTGTGTTCTTTAAATACCATTTCCCACTAAAACCAGGGTCCCTTGCAGAAATGGCTCCAGGGTAAGTGATTATCAAATTGTTGATCACATGGTCCCATTCTAGTCCCTGCTTGGTTGGGGGACCCAAAACATGGTTCATAAGCACATACTTCTGACCAACTGTAGTGACTTCATTCATGTCTACCTTGAGCTTGTATATGTTAAAGCCACAATCTCCTTCTAGAAAAATCTCCTGCTTCCTCAATAAACCACTACTATAATTACAACTTTTATGCACCTTAGTAAACGGTAAAAAACCCCACACAAACTTAGGACAACAATGGCCATTTTTAGGGGACTTTTTGACTTATCCAAATTAATAACAACATAATTCAGAGGTGCTCTAGAAAAAATAAGAAGACAAAAAACTCCAAATATTCATTGAATTCCCAATGAATTCACTGAAACTCCGATTCATTAACTGGCATGCTGAGGCCTCAACAAAATGGTGGCTCTGAGACAGTCTCTCAAAGATTTTCTATTTCATTTCTGCCCAAACATTTTGAAACTGACCTTCCTTGCACTACTTTATCTATAAACACGTGGCCTCTATTCATTCCGCTCATTCCCTGATTTCCTACACAAGCAATCCTTTCCTCAGTGTTTTTCTCAGAAACTCAACAACCACACTATACAAGATCCCTGTAAAACTGCTTAACTAGAAAACAAACCTATACAAGTTACTTTAAACTCTAGTCTACAGACAGTTAAAGGCTACAATTAAGGATATTCCTAAATCTCAGAAGATAGAAGTTTACTAAAGAATTCAACATTTCATTATATATGTATTGTCCTGGGCTACCACATCTGTACCAATTAATTCATTTAATTGTTAACCCCTCAGATGGAGATAAATGGTTAAAAGATTTAATAACCTAGATGTGAGTAATTCTACAACTGACCTTCGGTGGGCAAGGAAAACAGGAAATACACAACATAAGGCCACTTCTGAAGCCTTTCACTTAAGGGCAGATTGGACAAAGATTCAAAAGTGCGAACAAAATAAAGATAAATCAATAGGAAACTTTATAAAAATAGATTTTTGTAAACTTTTAAAAAATATTCTGGGGTAGATCCAATAGCAAAAGTGAAGGGAATCTTGTCCTCTCTTTTTGTAAATGGGCTTAGATCTAAAATAAGGAACTTTGAAAAAAACTGATCTGAAATGTAAAACTGCCATGTTAGAAAATCTCCAAGGTATGACTGAACATTTTCAGAGAGACTTATAAAGTTAAAAAAGTAGAAAACAAACAAACAAAACTGTATCATGTTCTGAATAAAACAAATGGCCCCTGAGATAAAATCAGGACCAAAAGGTCCTATAATAACTAAGAGTTGGGAGAGAAAAAGGGCCACTGGAAGAACCAATGTCTTCTATTCTCTAGGAAATAGAGGGGAAAATATCCAAAAATGCCACTCCAAGGAAGACATTACCACCCAGCAATTCTTTGTTCTTTCTCTAAACTCCTAACAGGAACTGTCTATAAATACAGATGGATAACAATATAGCATCCTTGTCAATGTGGGTTCTACTTCATCTGCCATTAATCTTATTAATATAGGACACTAAATTCCACAGGGTAAAGTTTTAAAGCAAAAGAGAAGCCAACTGACTGAGTAGTAAATACAGAAGAAAAAAAAATTTTTTGTCTTAAAAAAAAAAAGTCTCGTTGTGTCAGAATGTGAAGGAAGATTGTATAAGACAAACTTGTGGGTATACAGTAAGTTGTAGAAGTCTTCAGGAATAATGGTTTACTACACCTATTCAAGCAGTGGAAACTGCTATTTTCAATTTTTTCTCAAGCCAATCTTTAATTGCTATTTTGGGACCATTATGAAAAGAATATTTCTCTTCTCTATGTGATACATAAATCTTTCTTTTGAGTGTACACAAAAAGGTTAGATCATATTCTAGATAGTTATTAACTCAACAACACGGCACCCACCAAAGACCCATTGCCTATTCAGCCTATTCCTTGATCCAACAGCCAAGACTTATTCTCCTCGCTTCAGAGCAATTACAGACAGCCTCAAAAAAGTTAGTCAAAGCACCTGTAGAGGGTCACCTGTAAATCTGACGTTACTATGATGAGGAACTATCCCTAATGCTAACTAAAATACTAAACCTTTTTCTGTTAACTGATTGTGAAATACTGTTATTTTCTCCTCATGCTACCAACACTATTACCCATTGAAAAATAACCTTGTGGTTGTTTCTGTAGTTCAATATGTGTTCATGCCCTCAACAGACCTTTTGGACACTGCAGTCCAAATCCTGACAATATTTTTGTTGTTTATCTTAAAAATACCAGGTTAGATATGCAATAACTAGTCTATGGGAGAATCCAATTTTGTATGGAAACCAAACTGATGTAAGAAGCCAAACTTGCGGACTTTCCAAGAGCATGTCAAATTGCTAAAAATAAAAGGACTAAGGTATAACAGTGATAACTGTCATGGTTTTGGAGTAATAATTACTGGATGCTTTGATGACACCCAAAGAAATTGTTGTCATAAAGTAAAAAGTGATACTATAGAAACCGGAGAAAATGCTTTAGCAGATCATCATGCAGGTTATTTAGCAGATCAACAAGCCATGATTTAAAACAAAATAGTGGAATGGCATGCTAAGTGGAAGAAATGTATCTTTCATAAGAACATGTCTAGAAACACATAAAAAGTTCCTTAGAAATAAGAATTAAATAATAAGCTCTAAATATAATGAGCACAGTATTTTGAAATTAACAGTTAGGAAGAATTATTTTAAAAATAACTTGAAATTATTTATGAGTTACTTTTCATACGTCTACAGCAATCACTATATAGTATAAGAAGCCATTTAATAGCAGTTAATAGCAATACCGATCAATCCACAATAACAAACTTGTTTCACTTTCAGCTTTCAGTATATGAAAGATAAGGTGTAGAAATGACAAATCCTCAGTGAGGCTTATGGTCTCACTCTTACATTACAATTCAGGAAAAATGGTAAAAAAAAATGCAACTTACACTCATCTCGGAACCTTGGTTCTGCATTAGGCCCAACTCTACCAAATGTTTTTATGATTTCTGTATGCAAAGAATACTGGTCTTGATATTGAGGATCTTCCAGGAAAGAAGCCAACTGCATTTTCACTCTTTCCAGCAACTTAAAATTGAATATTGTATAGTCAAATTGAGAGAAGGATACACACTAAACATGGCTTGCATCACTGGATTCAAATGACTTACATCAACATAATAGTAGAAATTTGGAATTAAATAAGTACTTATTTAGTCTTTTGGCTCAGAAAAGATCTTAAATTTTTGTTTATGCTTGTTAATTCATTTTTTGTTTTTTAAAAACACAAATATTCCCTGACAAACTGTAGAAAAGACCCCACAATATTTAGGGATAAAGATAGAATTTTGATGATTTTGTATCTAAACTATAATTCTTAAAACAAATCAGAGTATAAGTTACCCACTTATTCACCTTCTGAAAGCAATGAGTCATTAATGACTTACATCTTACTCACATTTCCCTAAAAGACATTTTTATTTTGGGATTTAAGAACATGTTGAAATTCTGCCAAGACTGCAAGCTTTGCAGAACAATGTGTTTTTTTATTTTGCTCCACCGGTGAAATATGTAAGTGAAAAAATGGAAAACGTTTTTTCCCACAACTAACACGGTTGTTTAATTTTTGTTATAAGAAAAATCTATATGACAAAAAAATTTTACGGAACAGTTTAATATATATATATATATATATATATATATATATA